GAGGAAATCTGAACTTCAAGTATCAGCTGTATTTCTAAACAGATTTGTATTTTTTGTTTGTTTGTTTTTCTGTTTTGTTTTGCAGTACTGGGAGGTAAACACAAGGCCTCTCACTAAACTACAACCCCAACCGTTTTAATTTTACATTTTGAGACAGGGCCTCACTAAGTTGCTAAGTGGCCCATACTGGGCTTGAACTTGGCAATCCTCCTGCCTTGGACTCTTGAGTAGCCTGGATTATAGTTGTGTGCAACCATATCTGGCTTCTGATTTAATTGTGTTGAACACTCATGGAGATCTTTCAAATATAAGCAATACTCCATTTCCTAAACTCCACATTAGATAGAAGGTTTGGTTCTGTTTAAGCTCTAACCCATGTCTTATCTCTGTAGAAAATTGCTTGGAAAGTTTAGAAGAATCAAGTTTATCTTACAAGGAATTATAAGTTCTATTGGGAAAATTAGAGCTGTATAATTAGAATTGGGTCTTTACATCATTTCATTTTAAAGATGAACTGGAAGCCTGGATAACTTTTAATACGAAGTCCCAATAGGAAGCATTTCACAGCTTACCGTGCTTACCAGTGTCCATTCCTTTGATGGCCTTTACCTAGTCCCTGTTCTTCAGTGTCCTGGGCTGTGAATAGAGTTCCTGGGCCACATTTTCTGAAATTGGAAAATTCCTACCATTCCATTTAGGAAAACACAGAGTGCAGGAGTCAACCAATTTACTTCCGAACTCTATGTTATGGATCACTCAGCGACTGCTGCGTAGTGGACATTCAATATATGCCTTCTTTGTGAATAAATTAGATTGCCACAAAATAAATGCTGTATTACAAACAGGTTCTCTGAAGGCAACTTGGAAGGGGTGAGGATGTAGTTCAGTGGTAAAGTCTGTGCTTAACGTGCTTAAGACTCCAAGTTCAATCCTTAGCTGTCACACCCTCCTCCCCAAATTACCAGGGTGAAAGAATCTTTGGAGATTATTTTACACAGGTAGTCACCTGTGCCTACTTTCTTTGCTTTGAGAATCTGGGTTTATGTTCTTTATTCTTAATGGATCCACAGATCTATCTTGGTTTTCTAGATGGACTTGGACATTATTGACGCTTATTTAAAAGTTCAGCCATGGTGGTGTAATTCCTGTAATTCCCGGATTTGGGGGTGTGGGGTGGGATGATGCTGAATCAGGAGGATCACCAGGAGTTTGAGGCCAGCCTGGGCTACAAAGTGAAATCATGTCACACACAAAGTTTTTTTTTTTTTTTTTTTTTTTTTTTTTTTTTTAA